TCTCACACAAATCCATACATATATCCAAATATACCCGCACGCACGCGCAATTATATATAACATGCGCAAACAACTATACAAATATGCATACGCACATAGCGCTCGTACAAACATATGCATACCTAGACCCACACAAATTCATATGCACACATACTCGCAAGCGCGCCGTAATTATTTGAAAATATAAAGAATCACTATTCTAGGAGTTTTCGAATAATAAATAAATAATAAATAAAACATTTTTACAGAATAAGAGTTGATTTTTTTGTGATCTGAAATTTCATAGCTATTAATATTTTTTTACCTGTCTTGCATAAGAAATTGAAAATAATTTTGCCATTTTATGAACGTCTGTGAAAACTCAGTTATTAACAAGTTTATTAAAATGAAAATAAACAATATTTCTTATAATTCGTATTTCATAATCTTATATTTTTAATGCCTAATTTGCACGTTCCTATACTGATTTTACTTTCTTTATTTTACATTCTATGAGTTTGAAACATTATTTAATAGTTAATTTAAATACAACTGTAATTAGTCATGTATTACATTACTATATAATAATTAGAGGTGCATGAAAATAATATTAAGTTAAAAATTATTAATTATTTTTAACATTTTTATATACGTAATTTCATATTTATAACACGTTAATACGATGGATAATAATACTCGAAAGCAATTGAGTTTATTTTTAATATACTAGAAAAATACTATCCTGACTAAAAATATAATTTTGTGTGCATCGAATGTAAATAGTTTTCAAACATCTTTTTAATAAATTTTTTTAATTAAATTTGAAAAAGTATTATATTAATACACATTTCAAATTAAAAAGAGCTTGTCTCTCAATCTCTTAATCTCTCTCTCTCTCTCTCTCTATATATATATATATATATATATATATATATATATATATATGGATCTCTAACATTAAAATTACCTGCATGTAATAACGTATAAATGATGAATAAGTTTCATCGCTACGTAGTTGGATTCGAAACATTGAAAGGCCTACGCTGCTTTTTCATGTTTCGTTTACACATTCTAATACGACGGTAAATGTAAAACAAACACATACAAGAATATAAAGTATATTCACTGCACCAGTTCCTTGGCTGCGTATATTTGCATATCAAACTTTAAAGGAAACTTGATTATATCATACTTTCATAGCAAACAAGATGCATCCGCTGTAACAATTTCACTGGGATGCAGAAAACAACGATTGATTTTTCTAAAAGTAGGAAAGTACAGAGCCATCGTTTGCGACGACTTAGAAAACGATTTTCTGTGCGATAATCCGAAGACTTGATAAAAGGATAATAAAGAAAGGATTTCAGAAGTGAAGAGAAAGGAAAGGTTGCTTTCATCTAACAAGTTGATAAAGAGCTTTTGCCGCGCGCTATCCTCGAAAAATATTGTAACCTGGATTTTTTAATTTATGAGATGAGACGAGCAGGCGTAGGTACGAATGTCTGCTGAATATCCATACAATTCGTTATAAACTTACTAATTTGCGTATTACCAGCTTTTCCACTTTTAATTTTTTCAATTTGAAAAAAAAAGATTATTATGATATTTCATAATTGTGTATTATAAAAATTTCTTCTTCATAATCTATATGTCCCTCATCCCATTATTATGTTAATTTATCGAAAATTTATTCTATTTTCAATATTATAATCAACATTTAAGTAATTATTGAAATTTACACGATTTCTTATTAAATTCTCTAGCAATAAATTAAGATTTTCAAACATTAATTTCTTTAATATTTCTATAATAATTATTTCCTTTAAATTGCTTGCAACTTATTTTCTCATTAGGGATTAATATATCAAAGAGTATATATATTTATTCAATAAAATTTAATTCTCTACGATGTAGAGCTATAACACTAATATTTCTCCAATTTTATAGAAAGTATGTAATAGTGCGCACTACTTCATATAAATATAAACCTAAAAACGTACTTACCGTACGTCTAAACCTATTAAATTTTCAACATAAAATCCCAATCAATAAAACCTTCATTTCATTCATTTCAAAGATAAAATATATTAAATATAATCTATAATCCTATGAAGGCTTATGACACCAATTATCCATAAAATAAATTAAAAAAAAATGGATAAAGAAGAGAAGGGTAGCTCCGCTTAACGAATTTGCTCAACTTAATTTCTTCTTTTTTTTTCCAAGAACATGTAGTAAGTACGTAAAGTATATGAATCGATAAAAATAAAGAGAAATAAAAGAAATAAGAAAGAGGGGGGGGGGGGGGGGGGGGGGGGGGGGGGGGGGGGAGAGAGACAGAGATAGATAGATAGATGTCATAAGAAATATGCTTAACCCAATAAAGCATGATGTGATAATGAAGTTCGCGTGGATAAAGAAAGAGTAAGTGAGAGGGATGATGGCCACGTATTAGAGACAACTGAAGCTCGCTCCGATTATTTGATTGTCGTACTCCTCAAGTATGGAAATTCGTACTCGTACCAATTCATAGGCAAAGAGAGAGAGAGAGAGAGAGAGAGAGAGAGAGAGAGAGAGTGTCTCTCTCTCTCTCTCTCTGTGTGTGTGTGTGTGTGTGTGTGTGTGTGTGTGTGTGTGTGTGACAGAGAGATAGAAATACAGAAAGTGATATAGACAGAAAGTGAGTGATAGAGGGACGGAGGTGGAGAATAGTAAGAATAGGGCTACTAAAAACGATACTTTGCCAACGTCTCTGAGCGTTCATTCAATTGTCTCACATTTCGATTGTTGAGGCTTAGCTAATAAATTATTCATACTTGGAACATATTTATATATTACATTTCTCCATTTTAATTAATACTGTTGTAATTTTTTTAAAAATTTTATATTGATAATTATTTAATCAAGTTAATACAAAGTAATGCGTAATTCTACAGTGTACTTAGTTAATCTGTATTATTCATTCGTTTTTGTATGACCACGAATAAATGGGATTACCATCAATATGTGCATTATGATGGATTATTTAGTATTGAATTCGGGGAAAATTGTACTTAAGTTAATATTACTTCGTCAAAATTTATAAATATTTGATGATGTTGAGTGATATGTATATTTTTTTCTTTGATTCGATCATACTTATTTTTCATGTTCTTGAATAAAATATTACATTATACTTTAAGCTTGTTGAATTTTATGACTAAAATGTACCAGTTTGTACGATGAATTAATTAAATTCCATTCGATTGTTACAACTTCGTGTTATAAAGTGTTTATATAAATTTTTACTGAAATAATATTCATACACATTTATTTTACGTACATTATATACGGTCTTTTTAATTTTTTATTCTTTGCGTAGGAAATACATAATAAACAAATATTCCACTAATTATAATCTATTATTTTTATCTTCTATTCGTCTTTCTCTTATCCCCCCCCCTCCTCTCCATCCCAGTAATTCTTCCATCCTGTGATCCCATCTCTCATTCCATTTTACCTTACTCTCTTACGTTCGCTTTAGAAGTCGTTTTAAGCAGATAAGAAGATGGCAGAAAATTTTTCTCTACCTCTTATGGAATTTCTTACTTAGGCCTGATTAAGGCAACTTTCGACAAAAAGTCAACATAAGCAGAAGAGAGGACAAGGTTCATAGTTTGCAAACCGCGGGCAATTTCCTCTACTCATGCCTATCTTATGTGAATTCATTCCCTTTGCCTCTTCTACCTCACCCTCATTCACATTAAGGAAAGGAGGAAGCTTTTAACGTTAGTCAATTCCGACTTCTTACGTATCCTTCTTACTTTGTACGTACGTACGTAAGTGTAGACCGTATGTGCGTTACGTGCCTCCTATAAAGTTTTCTATATCTCGCATCTAATCATATCAAACGAAAAGTCTGGAGTTAAAGTCTGTATTCGTTGCGGTAAATGTAAATTCTTTATGTGTATTATATTCGCATGTGTATTGGATACTCGCGAATGAAAGAATCCGGAGAAACTCTGATTCGCTTTTTTTTCTTTTTTTTTTTTTTCTTATACGTGTAAAAGGTAACACGTAAGTTGCAAATTTAGGACTCTAAATTGACATTCCTCGCACGCATCTTACAAGGAATTATTTATGCGACAAGCTTGCTTCGTACATTCATACAATATGCATAAACAAAAGTTGGTGAAATTTATTTATCGGATAATATTGTTATCGTTCGATTAATTAATATTCCTACAATTTTGCGCCATTTAATATATTAATAGGCATAGGCAGGCTTTATCCATTATTCGTAGGAAACGTTAATGCATCATAATCAAGGAATATCAAAAGACGATTATATTTTCATGTAGCAGCTTTCAGAATTAAGTGCATGTAACGAAACGTCATTTGCACCTCCATCGAAACATTACGAAGAGTCGTAAGAACTTTACAATATTACAATGAAAGTATTGGGTCGATCGAACGACGATAAGGAATTGTGGGAGTAAGTAAATAGTGGAAGCGTGGACCAAAGACGAACATTGCTTACCTCGTGCAGCGGCACCTGCCTCACGGCCACAAGTGCTGCGGCGGTGGCGGGGGCGTCGGTAGCGAAGGCGGCCTCTCGAGGGGCACGGGCGGCACCTCCGGCATGGCGAACCTGAGCTTTTGCCAAAAGAGCTTATCACCCCAGACGAGCACTGTATGCGTCGACACTCGCCTTCTCAGCTCACTGTCGAGGTCACGCGGGCATACGCCCCCCACGAGCAAAAGTATGACGTTGCGCCCGCGACCCTTCAGAGCCTCCCTCAGGGCGGCCTTAAACTCGAAACGCGCCCACTCGCCGTGGAGGAAATTGCGCGAGAGAACGAGGATCGTGCGCCGCGAGGAGTCCGCAGCCTCGGCGACCGCGTCGGCTACGCTCGAGCCCGCCCCGAGATCGCGATAGTGCAGGCAAAGCCGATAGTTCGTCTCGAGCCCCGGCACGAGGACTCGCGACACGAAGGCCTCGTCCACCGCGGAGTACGAGATGTAGGCGTCGAAGGGCTTCTCGAGGTCCTCGAAGGCCGCGGTCTTGTAGCAGGCGCGCAGACCGCAGCGACTGGAGGCCCAGGCGCGTAGGGCCCGTCGGTGCCTCAGGGCACCACAGAGGAGCGCCAGCGTCACAAGCAGAAGAACCCCCGTGGCAAGCATCACGGGCAAGTAGGTTTCGAAGGGCCGCTCCCTTATGCTCGAGGTGACGCTGCCGAGGATCGCGCAGCTTACGAGCGAGCCGTTGACCGGGGCCAGCAGCGGCATGCCCAGGCTGCAAGTGACGCGCTTCCAGTCGGATATCTTCTCCTTGTTGGCCGTCATCCACTTGCGCACGCGGTTCACGTAAGCGCACTCGCAGTGCCACGTATTCCCGGCGAGGCTCACCTCCACGAGGTAGGGATTGAGCGCGAGCTGCCATATGGCGAAGCTCCCGAGACGATTGTTGTCGAGCCGCAGTATCTCGAGCTTGAGGAGCGGCAGGAAGGTGCTGTTGTCGACGTAGGCGAGCCAGTTATTTTGGAGGTAAAGCTCCTGCAGAGCCTCGAGGGGTGCGAGCTCGGTGCCGTATAAAGCGCCGATGCGATTGTTCTCGAGGTGTAGGACGGCGAGCCTCCTGAGGCCGCTGAAGGTGAAGTTCCGAATGGAGACGATGTTGCTGTCGTTGGCATAAAGGATCTCGAGATTTTTGCGGCCGATGAAGGAGTGGGAGTCGAGCTCGCCAAGGTCGTTGCCGTCTAGGTAGACCTCCGTGGCGTCCATGGGCAAGCGGCCCGGCAGCCTCTCGTAATTCGAGCTGGAGCAGTCGACGACGTTCGCGGCCCAGGACTGATCGTGATAGCACGTGCAGTTGGTCGGGCAGGTCATCTCGCAGTCGCAGGCGTCAAAGTCGCAGCAGTGACAGAGGGCGAAGCAGTGCGTCGAGTAAGTGCAGAGGAATTGCGAGGGTTTGGCGTCGAGGAGGGGCACGAACGAGCGCCGACGATCGTACGGCAGCCGACAATAGACGGACTCGAGGTCCATGACTCGCGGATGCTGGCGCAGCATTAAGTAATTGATGCGCTGGAGCCACTCGGTGGTGCAGTCGCAGACGAAGGGATTGCCGCCGATGTAGAATTCAGGGAGGTATCGGTCGGCTGGTACTTGGGTTAGCTGAAAGGCCGACAAGTCCATGCGCACAATCTGATTGGCGTAGAGGTCGACGCGGGTTAGGTTGCCCTTGGCGATGAACGTCTGCGGCTCGACGACGTGAATTTCATTGTCGTTTAAGAATAGCAGCTCCACCGAGTCAGGCACCATCCGCGCGCTGACGCGCCGCAGTCGATTGAAGGACGCGTCGAGGGTGAGAAGTCGCGATCGCGGCTGAGCAACGCCCAAATCAGTTATGACATTTTTATGAAGATCCATCCACTGTAGCTGGGGGGGTAGGTAGCCGTAATCGAAGCGCTCGATCATGTTGTCGGAGACGTTGAGCCAGAGGAGACTGGAGACGTTGGCAAATGACGTCGAGATGTCGGCGAGCAAATTCGAGTCCAGTCGTATCGCCTGTAGCATTGGATTGCCCCTGAAGGCCTCGCTGTCCACGTGCTCGATCTTGTTGCGAGCGAGATTTAAGATCTGGAGGCCCGGCAGCTCGGCGAACACATCCCTCGTCACGTTGCTCACGTAGTTGTTCATCAATCTTAATCCGTATAGACCGGCCATACCTTCGAAGCTCAGCCTCTCCAAGCTCTCGATGCGATTCTCACCGAGATCGAGCATTTTTAAGATTCCCATGTCCTTTAGGGCGCCCGGCACACTCTCCAAGTTATTCCCCGATAATTGAAGATCTTGGAGGCTTGAGCAATTTTTGAAAGCGTCCGGCCCGATGCCCTCCAGCAGATTGTAATTCATTGCCAATAGGGACAGGGCGAACAGGCCGTTAAGCGATTGGCCGTCGAGGTACCTGAGGCGATTGTGCGATATTTCGAGGGTATGCAGGTTGCTCATGGGCGCGAACGTGTCGCCCGCTATCGTCTCGATTTCATTATACTTTAAATTCAAAATCTGCAGGGTATAGAGGTCCTTGAATAGCGCTGGATCGAGTTTGCTGATGCGATTGAAGGAGAGATCAAGGAGGACCAAGCGTATCAAGCCAGCGAACGTCGCGGAATTCATCCAGGAGCTCGTTAATACGTTCCTCGACAAGTCTAAAGCCACGAGCTGATTCATATTGGTGACGAGCCCCGGTGCCAGCACCCCTATCGAATTGTTCTGCAGCTTGAGCTCCTTGAGCGAATTTGCCGCCTCCCTGAATATCTCCGTGGGTAGTGCAACGATCTTATTGTCGGACAGATCGATGGTCTTGAGCGACCTTAAACCGTGGAGGGCCTCGTCCTCTACGACGGTTATGCCATTTACAGCGAGATTGAGAGTGCTGAGACGGCGTAGGGATGAAAATGCACGGGACGGCAGTACGGAAAGGCGATTGTGAGACACATCGAGGATACGAATGTCCAAGGAGCAGGGTAAGGTGGAGACGGTCGGGTATGGAATCCGTCGTCTTTGTTGCTGTTGTTTCTGCTGATGGTGCTGTTGCTGTTGCTGTTGCTGTTGCTGTTGCTGTTGTTGTTGATACTGCTGCTGTTGTTGTTGATACTGCTGCTGCTGCTGCTGCTGCTGCTGCTGCTGCTGCTGCTGCTTTTGTTGCTCCAAACGTTGATCCAAACGTCTTAATTTCCTCTCGGTTGATAAACCAAAGTCGAGCTCGCCAAGATCCTCCAGCAGATTGCGGGACAAATTCAGACTAACGAGATTGCCGAGTGGACAGAAAGTGTGACTAGGGATACGCCAAATATTGTTGGAGGACAGATCTATCTTCTCGAGCTGGGTGGCGGCCTCGAACGCACCATCTTCCAATTCTAGCGCAAACGCAAACCCGGAGCTGCTGCCCTTCCGACTATCATCCCAGCTCTCTTGCAACGTCCCACCACCATCCGTGCTAATTGTCAAGTTTCGCAAGTCGCGAAGTCCACTTAAGGCCCTCGCAGCCAGTTGGACGACTCGACATCCAGCTATCCGCACGGCTCGCAGCCTCCACAAATGCGAGAGCTCCCCCGTATTAAAGGGGATTCGAACATCGCCCCCGTCTCTCGAGTTAAATTCCACTGTCGCCCCCTCCTCGTTCACGTACCCGTCCTTGTCGCTCTCGAGGCAGACGAGAGTCAAAGAGGTGATCGACTCGCCCGGTAGCGCGCTCAGATTTACCCGGCTTTCGGCAGCTATTGTCGGCTCCTTTTGTAAACAAACGAGGCTGCCCTCGCTCATGGATTCCCACTCGCAATGTCGCGGCACTTTCAGCAATGTCGGCAGCATACTGGAATTACTACCGCTATCGCCGCTCGTCATCGTCGTCACATGATTGAGGACGAGAATCGTCAGCCGAATCGTAAATAATGTTAGCCACCGCCTACGCGTCACCCTTATCCCGGTATGCATCTTGGATTATTCGAATCTGCCACCGATGGATAATGTCGGAAAAATCATGCGCACGTACGATAGAACACGAATGGAAACCGTCGTGCGACCGCCCACCAACACACCTCAAAGTTACTTTGACAACGGCGCAGAGACTTTCGCCACCATTAGTCGGAGCTAAACATCCGAGAACACGAAATACTATTATTTATCGCTGGCTAGCCGTGTCGATGATTAACGGAGCGGTGAGGAGTGAGGGCGGGGGGTGGGGGGAGGAGGAGAGGTACCCGAGATGAACGACGGTGAGCATCCGCTGTGTAGAGGTCTCGGGCAAGCTGCTGGTGTCGTCAGTTGACAATCGAACGGACGTGTAAATGCGATTCGCAAGGAACGCTCGATCGCATTGTGACGTTATTAAGCATGTGGTGGAGGCAGCTGTCGCCACGAACACGGCGAATCGTAAAGAGAGCCGCGTAATATTGTTACGCAGCGTCGTCGAGGCGCGCACTTGGAGGGCGCGACGAGATACGATTACGCGCGACCGCTGATGAACGACAGCTCGAGGGGCCGGATCGACGAATCCTGGTCAATGTGCTTTGTCGTATCCCGAATGTCAGCCGCCTCGCGTACCTTTATCATCGCCAGTTATCGAGCCGAGCTTCGCTTTTTCTTTTCTCTTCCTTATACTCGATTTTCCATCGGCGCATCGTCCGACAGCACCTTTTTATCGCCAAATTCCCGCCCGTCCTCGCTCCTCAAGCCCATGTGTCTTTATCTCCGCTTTCCACTCTCCCAGGCTTTTCCTCGCTCTTTGTGATCCCGGCTTTCGCCGCGCACACCTTTGACAAGAGTTAGCGATTAATGGGGATACGCCGCCGTTCCGCCCACAGGTCACGTATCGCGCACCCTGCTACAACACCACATCGCGTCCCCGCCACGGCTTTCTCTTTGTCGGCGCTCCTGCTGCCCTCCCTCCTTTTTATCCTCCGAACCGTTCGTACTCTCTCCTCGCACGTCCAACACAGCCTCAACCGTCTCAACGACAAAGACACGAGCCCACCCCGATCCCCCTTCAATCCGGTCGCGCACTTTTTCAAACTTTGGTCTTACGTTCCCGTATCGCGCTCCTCTCTCTCTCTCTCTCTCTCTCTCTCTCTCTCTCTCTCTCGCTCTATCTCTATTTAATCTTTCTTCTTCCTCCTCTTTCCTCCCTCCTGACTCGCTCTCTTTATCTTTCAGCCCGTGCTCCTCCGCGCGCTAAACTTAACACATAAGGAAACCTCCGACAATAGCCCGGTGCGGTACGCAGCCCCGTACGGGGGTTGTTGTTTAGGGGCGCAGAGCGGCGAGATGACGACACGTCGGAACCGCTCGGTCGCAAGCGCGAGACTGCCGGAGTGAATGGCGCGCCACGAGTGCAGAGCCTGACTGGCGCGCACACTCTGCTGCTGCTTCTACTGCTGGTGGTGATGCTGGTGGTGATGCTGCTGGTGGTGATGCTGCTACCGCTGCTGCTGCTTATGCTGCTGCTGCTGCTGCTGATAGTGGTGGTGGTGACGATGGTGGGTGGTGGTGGTGGGGGTGGTAGTGGTAGTGGTGGTGGTAGTGGTGGTGGTGGTAATGGCGGTGGTACTAGTAGTGGTGGTCGTGGTCCTAGCGGTAGTGGAAGTGGAGGTGGTGGTGGTTGGTGGTGGTGGTGGTGGTGATGGTCATATTGCTATTACTGCTGTTGCTGTTGCTGTTGCTGTTGCTGTTGCTGTTGCTGTTGCTGTTACTATAACGAGGGACGACACGATCTTATGGGCATCTCGGGAGGAAGTACGCGCTCGCGTCGACTCTCGTTACTCGCTACAGCATCAGCAAGACTAACTTCAGCCATATAGCGGCCGCCAATCGCTTCCAACCCTCTTTCCTATCTCAACCCTTCCCACCTCCTCCGGGCCCCACTATCTATCTATCTACACCTCAATATCTCTCCAATTTTCCTTATAAGTATATCTACGTCTATTCTTCTGTTCGATACCATTTCATCATCATCATCATCATCATCATCATCATCTTCTTCTTCTTCTTCTTCTTCTTCTTCTTCTTCTTCTTCTTCTTCTTCTTCTTCTTCTTCTTCTTCTTCTTCTTCTTCTTCTTCTTCTTCTTCTTCTTCTTCTTCTTCTTCTTCTTCTTCTTCTTCTTCTTCTTCTTCTTCTTCTTCTTCTTCTTCTTCTTCTTCTTCTTCTTCTTCTTCTTCTTCTTCTTCTTCTTCTTCTTCTTCTTCTTCTTCTTCTTCTTCTTCTTCTTCTTCTTCTTCTTCTTCTTCTTCTTCTTCTTCTTCTTCTTCTTCTTCTTCTTCTTCTTCTTCTTCTTCTTCTTCTTCTTCTTCTTCTTCTTCTTCTTCTTCTTCTTCTTCTTCTTCTTCTTCTTCTTCTTCTTCTTCTTCTTCTTCTTCTTCTTCTTCTTCTTCTTCTTCTTCTTCTTCTTCTTCTTCTTCTTCTTCTTCTTCTTCTTCTTCTTCTTCTTCTTCTTCTTCTTCTTCTTCTTCTTCTTCTTCTTCTTCTTCTTCTTCTTCTTCTTCTTCTTCTTCTTCTTCTTCTTCTTCTTCTTCTTCTTCTTCTTCTTCTTCTTCTTCTTCTTCTTCTTCTTCTTCTTCTTCTTCTTCTTCTTCTTCTTCTTCTTCTTCTTCTTCTTCTTCTTCTTCTTCTTCTTCTTCTTCTTCTTCTTCTTCTTCTTCTTCTTCTTCTTCTTCTTCTTCTTCTTCTTCTTCTTCTTCTTCTTCTTCTTCTTCTTCTTCTTCTTCTTCTTCTTCTTCTTCTTCTTCTTCTTCTTCTTCTTCTTCTTCTTCTTCTTCTTCTTCTTCTTACGTTATTTTTCCTCTGCCACTTCCAATATTTTTTTTTTAGTATAGTGTTTGCCAACTCTCATAGTTTGAACTACCAATATACTTGTAACGCAGCAACATATATACGACATTTATAATTTGACGTTCATTCCACTTCTTAATAGATAATTGTTTAAACTTGAACGCATAACACTACTTAACGATATACGTGTGTAATACGAATAATTCCAACGCTATATTTATTAGAAAATGTCGTACAAATTAAACAATATACGTTATGTAGAAAGATTATTTCCACTTATTACGAAGATTTCGCAATATTGTCAAAATTTCTGATACTATCTAATACTAAAATGCCTCGTGTTTTTTATGTACATTGCGAAGTAATAATAATATCGCGCTCGTTAAATTTAAATTAAATTAAAAATTAAATATTTGATAACGTAGCATTTACTTTACTCCAATAGTTGCACATTCTGAAATAAAAAGAAACCTTAAATTATGTTAATTATAAAAATAATCATATATTTTTACCTCAAAGATTTATTCATCTTTGAAAGTGATCTATCGTTGAATATTTCAGCTCACCTTTTTATCATTAGTATTTTCCAGCCTCTTAATCGTATTTGAAAATGTTCCACTATCTACCCCTTAATTGATGTATTGAATATTTGAATCAGATAATTTAAACTTTACAATTGGAATAAATATTTATAAAACAATAGTGGACGTAGTACGTCCATCATACATCAGTATGGCGACGTCTCGTGGCAAAACTACAAAACAAACTATCCGGTAAATCATCCATTTATATACATTTTTATATCGCATGTTCAATTACGAACTGTCTCTAATACTCTATTGTAAGTACAAATCGATATTTCCACGACATTTTCCAAACAAAGGATTTTCTTTTAAATTCGATATACATAACTAATCTTAAGCCATATTTTAATTAAATTGTCTCTCCATAAAATATGGACGTGAGCATTATTAAGTAAATAAGTATTTATAGAAGAATAAATTGTTTTCTGAAATAGCGATAAATTTTTTTATATTAAATATAACTTGTACTCCTGTAAATTAAGAAAGTAAAAATTTCAATAATGTTTAGTTTAAAAAATATTTTTTGTAATTTTTTGTAAACTTCGCTTTTAAATATATATATATATATATATGTTCAAAGCGTTTCATAAAACTAATATTATATATAAATATATATTTGTTCTTTTCATAGTTCTTAAAATTAATAATATATTAACTAATACAGTTATATGAACCATTAAAAATACTAATATATTATTACAATTTATTTACCTCTGTCTATAGTAACTCCAATAGTAACTTACTTTATACTAGTTCGCGTAAAATATTCAAACAATAAATAACAACTGCAAAAATAAATAATATTATTTTCATCAATATTTGACCATAAATTTAATCCTAACTACCGAGTAAGATTTACATTTACGAGAGTTGGTATAAATATTTTCATATAAATGACATTATTTTTTATATAATAATTGGGATTTATTTAAGTTTCGAAACTTATGATTTATTGTACAATCATTTTAATGATAAATTAAAAATTAATAAATATTTTCTTTAAATATATTGTTTATAAAAAATAAACGTAAATTTACAGAATTAAACGATAAGGGCAATGTGTACGTGTGTGTGTGAAAATTTAAAATATTTTATTTTATTACATATTTTTTTTCTTTCTATCGTAAATGAAGATTAAATATTTTTAGCAAATAATCTTGGATAAATAATATTTACTTGTTACTTGTAAGCATAATTACTTGTAATGTTGATCGATATTAATTTTTTCTAAAATATCAAAACAGGTTACAGGTATTGATAGAAACCTATATAAATGAATATTACGAATATTAAAAATTACAAATACAATTGTAAGTGCAAAATTGATCTGATTTTCATAAGAAAAGTATTTGAATTTTAATCACAAATGTGAAATTAATTAATATTTTAACACGTTCGAAAATATAAGTTGATTCCTTGTCTATTAAAAGATGAATATGACACACAGTTCAATCTTTTATGAGGAATAAAAATCTTTAAAATATTCTATCAATTTTAAGCTTCAACCACTTCACGGAATTTTAAATCACGATACTTATAATTCTTTTAATTAACGAGATTCTAAGACATTAAATAATAACCTGGCTGCACAAAACATACGACATTTAATTATATTTGACATTATCTTATTGTCATTTGTTATAACAAACATTTATTCACAACGGCATATTATCGCAAAGAGGCTTCACTTATAAATCTAACTGTCAGACCCTTTCAGGCTGGAATTACGTGATTTCTCTTTTGGAGTAATTCGTGGGTC